AATTTTATCGAGTAATCAGAGTTAATGCGATACAAATGGATTCGACTCAAATACCGCGGGCACAAGTTATCGACATCTTCTACGAGGTAAGTAAACAGCTGTTCTACCGACTGTTCCTGCACGTCGTTGAGTCTTTAAAGTGACTGTACGCCCCTGTTGAGCCGTGATCCGCTGACACTCCGTGCGCGCGGATTGCCATGATTTCGGTCAATTTTTAAACTCTTATAACTAACAAACGAAGCATTTTTCGCAATTTCGTTATTCTTGATTTTCGTCTTATTTTGCCTCAAAGAATCACCCCTTACATTTTTTCCCACTAGTTGTCGAACACCCTGTATGTATATTTTTTCTTTCTATGTATTATTGCTTTAGTTCTATATTCTTAACACTGTTCGGAGTATTTTCAGCGTTGCATTATTCGTTTTCTGATCTAAAAGTTTCTTTTCATAATTCTTCGTAACTTTTGCCACGATTACTAAACAATAATACATCTTTCTTTGCTCATTTCACTCTTTTTATTCGGTGACGGATTTTTAGATATATAACTGAACACTGAACATACTCGGGCAAGGAAATGACCTTCTTTCACGCCTTCACGCGGCCCATCCCGTTAACACTATTACCTTCACTGTTTATACGATGAACATTAATATTCGAAAATTTTGTCAAAAGTAATAGTGGAACAAAGATGAAAGAAAGGCATGTTCATATCATGTGGCATTAGTAAATCAAAAACTACAGCTTCTGTCTCGTCAATTGTGAAGTATCTATATGAAACAATTGAGGTAAATATTAAGGACTATGTATTGTGCAGATAGACCAATAATATAAATTATTGTTGTACAAACAATTTTCAATCGTTTGTTGACCTTTTTTGAATTAAAATGTGCCCGAATACAAGAACACCAAATCACGAAACATAAAAGATTGTCTCTCCTGAAATTGCGGACGAGATATTTCACTAATCGATGTCATTCATTAGACTCTTTGGACGATTTGTTTCGCATCTCTGTTTATCAATATTTTCAACTCAAAATACATATTTATTAAATATCCTATTTGTAGCATCGCTAGATAGTACAATAAAAAGACTCGCGAGATATCTCGTCCATAGATGCGAAGGGGTTAATACGTATTATAAAAAACTTTATCGTCATTTTGCGTCACAAGTACACAGTCAAATAAATTTTTAATTTTTTCTGTTTTGTAGTATAAATGTGTTGTCCGCTTAATAATAATTCGGAATTTGTAACAAATGATACTATTGAATAAAAATTTATTTATTTGAAATAAGTATTTATATTTTTATTCGCATAAAACCTTATTTAACAAAAAATTTCGATACGTTACTAACGAAAAAAATGTTGAATACAATTGTATTCAACACTTTTTTGTTATGTCAATGCCACACCGAGAGACAAAAGTATGTATGATAGCACCTGTACAGTATTATGTTCGGATTAAGTGTACACGCGCAATTATTTCTGTAATTATTGAATATGCGAATAAACTTAATAGAATATTTGAATTTTTTTTAATTGTTATTTACAGAGATTTTATCAATAATGTAACTTTTTTAAAGGAACTACATATGTTTAGTATTATCATGTTATTGAGCATTTCAATTCGAATTCAACGACATATTTGAAAGTTTTGTTTGAGTAATCATTTTTCGGATAACTGTATGAATGTTGCTGGCAAATGTCAAGTTCGGATAGCATCTTTTTTTTTCTTTCATACAGTTATCTGAGAAATTATTACTCAAACAGAACTTGCATATGTGTCTGAATTTATCTTAAAATCGTTCATAATACAACATTAATAAAAATATATAGTACCGTTTAAAAACATTATATTGTTATTAAAATCTCTGTAAATAACAATAAAAAAAATTCAAACATTCTATTAAGTTTGCTGACTTTGCTCCATTAAATAAAAGAACTTTCATATAAAACATTTTTTCGTATTCGTAATAGTTAGATTAATATAATAGCATGTATACATTTATACCGGGCCTACTTGTATAGATTGTATACATATGTGTCAAACTGCCGTTCAGGCCGGGCGAGAAAAGCAAAACATTCTTCCTTGCTAGCGAAACCGGGGCAATAATGTATGTGTGTATCGATATATGCAGTCACGAGTGTGTGTGCTGTGCGTCTTCATGGTATCCAACGTAGTTACTAAAGTCGAAAACTTTTATTTAGAGTGCGCTCGAATCAGCGTGATTTTCGTGGGACACCAAGTCCCATAGGATGTAAGGTCTATTCTTATATCTCGTCTGCGATACGGTTCAACAACAATGGCTTCGCGTAGCAGAAACACAAACCCAACTTGATGGTAACGGGAAAGAAAATTCATTTGTAGGTACTGCCGTTAGATGTCGTATTATCAAGCCGCCATTAGCGTTGAGGGACGCTAGGAATCAAGCACGTGAACGTGCTGTAGCGACAGCGGACAAGATGGTTCTGCCGCATGCAGGAGGCAACGCGATGTACGCGCCTCTTTCTCCTTGCAGCAGAAGGAGACACTACGGTGGGAGAGAGACGGCAGTATCCGCTCCCTAGAGTCACCGGAAAATAGTTGGCGCCCAATGTTAACGTATCTTAACAATCTATATCTCAAAAACTTGCTCCCAATTTGCTCCTTCCGAATCTGAAATTGCTCCCACAGCACCGTTTATATTTAATGAGATATTGCAGTATTTATAGAATTCTGATCCTCGTCAGCCACAAAAGCTGCAATAAACGAACGCCTACTGTACACGACTTCATAATATTTCTTAACAATTTATATCTTAAAAAATTGCTCCCGATTTGCTTTTTCCGAATCTGAAATTGCTCCCACAGCAACGTTTATATTTAATGAGATATTCGCAAATAAAAAAGCAAAAATTTATCTGCAAAATCAATAGACATTCGTTTCCCGCACTAGTCGGGGCTGCAGCGGGCCAGAATTCCAGGAACCGTGCAGGAAGTAGACCACCACTCGGCCGTTCAATCGTCGTGCGACGCAGCTACATATAGGGTGGGCTGGATATGCGCACTGTAGGTTACATTAATTATCTCCGTTATTTTTAGAGATACAGAAAAGTTTATTCACAGAAGTTGTTCAGTATGAAGAGGGATATTACTTAGCAGTAACAAGTTTTTCGTAGGTGGAGTATCTTCTAAGTTTTCGAAGTTAATTATGTTATTTTTATTAATGATATTGAAATATTATGGAATAAAATACTTTTATTACATAAATCGATTCTTCCAAACATTCTGCGTCAAAAAGTATTAAGGTATTATGTGAAAAAGATAATAATTCGTGACATATTTTAGTGGCAAATGTCTAGCTTGCATAGCATCTGTTACCCATTACGTGTGATCCGCGAGACAAGAAGCAATCAAATTGCCACCAATATTCATTGCATCAATAAAAACATTATTAAAACAGTATTATATACATTGCGCTTTCCGTGATGAAATATGCGAGTTAAATGCGACACCGTATGTGTACTGACCTGGCCGTGCTAGGCGACAGAGTAGGGTACGCGCGCGTGTGTGAGAAATCGTGTGAGCAAGGGGCGTGGCTTTCATGCAGATAACGGTGGCACGGGAAACGAATGTCTAATGTAGATAGGAAATGGTCTTATCTTGCACGCCATCTATAAACGCAACACAATACAAATGACTATGACTACAAACAACAAGGAGCATAACCTTTACTGCTTGTACACCCACGAGTAAACTCGGCTTCCACTACGGGAAAAAGTGAACATAGGGGAAGGACCTCCTACTATGCTCCTACTTCTTAAAATGAGAATTACTGAAATTAATACGAAATTGACATTCATTTTAACCTTATTTAATATAATTCAGTACTTGAATTATATTTACTAAGTGGTAAGAAGTCCTTCCTCTTATGCCACTTTTTCCCTTAGCGGAAGCCGGGAACCAACTCAACTGTCATGCATGACGTCATAGCCTACGTAACATGTATGCAACAACATTATTTCAATTGCTCTTTGTTAATAACTTGTTATTAAGATATCTGACCATTGAATATTATAAAACAGATCAGGAGCAACTTTTTGCTACCATGATCTTTTTATAAAAAGACCATTTCCTATCTATTTTGCAGATAACTGTTTCTGCTTTTTTATTTGCGAATATCTCATTAAATATAAACGGTGCGATGGGAGCAATTTTAGATTCGGAAAGTGCAAATCGGGAGAAATTTTTTAAAATGTAAATTGTTAAGAAACACTAATATTCGTCACCAACTACAATGGAAAACTCAAAAGATCCTCGGCCAACGAAAAAATTATTACTGCTAAATAATAGCCTTTTCCATACTAAACAACTTCTGTGAATAAACCTTTCTGATATAACAGATATATTAAGATGACCAAAAATGCGTATATGCGACCTACCCTATATATACGTGCGTCACGCAATTGTCGCGATTGGAGAGAGCGCGGGTGATTGGTGCTCGTTCATTGTATATTCCTGGAATTTTGGCCCTCTATAACCCCGAAGACTACAATAAACGAGCGCCTACCATATGACGGAATACCTAACCTCTATGCAACAACAATATTTAGTTTGCTTCTCGTTAATAAGTTGTTATTGAGATATCTGACTATTGATTATTATAAAACAGATCAGGAGCAATTTCCTGGTGCCATAATATTTGTGTACAAAGGCCATTTACTACCTATTTTGTAAACAACAAATTTTTGTTTTTTCTTTTGCGAATATTTCATTATCGGTGCTGTAGAAGCAATTTCAGATTCGGAAGGAGCAAATTGGGAGCAATTATTTGAGATATAAATCGTTAAGATACGTTAACATTCGGCGCCAACTATTCTGCGGTTAAACCGTCCCAATTACCGATTATGTGTTTTCGCTAGCGTCCGATTGTTTACATCAGCGCTTCGATCGATTCGGAGTTGTCCCCGAAGGAGTCTCCCCCCTTAAGACTATCCATAATAATCCGTGGGTCTATGCTTGTGACCTTATAGCGTCGTTCTATCGGTTCTACCCTAACCTCTTTAAAGAATTCCTTGCGCGAGCTCCTCAGATTAAAGTAAATAAAGCACTCCAAAATACCTCTCAAGTGACTGACAAATGATAGATTTATGATATCGCAATTTAGTACCGTACTGGAAGTGAATGCAACATGTCGATGCTCGCGGAACCGCGTCGAAAACAAAAATGGACCTTGAATCCGCGGGGAAAACAATGGAGCGAAGGTTTACGATGATTTAAATTTGTTCGATCCATTGGTACTTAAATGATGCGGGTTTAATTGATTCGAGTAACGTTTGTGTGTTTGCCACAGATTCGAACAAATTCGGACAGAAGATGTTGGAAAAGATGGGCTGGACGATCGGCAAAGGACTCGGTGCTCACGAGCAGGGCATGACTGAGCACGTGCGCGTCTCTTATAAAGACGATACAGCAGGTAACAAAGAGTTTCATAACTTTAAACGTTAAGTGTAGTCACCATACATTGCTAATTGGTTTTCAGTCTTCTTCTTTGCTATTAAGAACTCGTCACTTCGAAGCATTCATTGGAATAGGAAGTGTTAAAAGTTAATTAAAAGGTGCATAGATATTCAGAGAATTTAATGTTTCTAAAATACTTAAATAAGTAAGTTGTTTAGAATCAGTAGTTGGACTAACATAAATTAAAAGCAGAAGAATTTAAGTTGTATATAATAGGAGTTCATTGTCTTTATACTTTCTGTGTAAGCTAATGTCATATTTGTAAAAGGCTTTGAGAATTAGACAGCTCTTGTATATACCTAAATACAATAAAATACAACTTAATAAAAATTGTTTTTGTTTGTTATATAGGCATTGGATTTAAAAAAGACCATTTGGATAAAGCATGGACAGAGCACCAAGATAGTTTTAATGATTTTTTACAACAACTCCAAAAAAGTAAAGATCATAATGTAATCCAAATAGAGGAAGTTAAATCTGAATTAAGTGGAAAGTCATTGGAGTTAAAGTCTCGGCAAAGCAAAGCTCGTGTTCAGTAAGTATGATAAGTGTTATAAAAGATTTCATATAAACATGTGCATTTCCTAATTGGTATATTTTTATTATTATTAGCTACAACAAATTCACAAGAGGAAAAGATGTAAATAAATATAGTCCGAAAGATTTAGCAAATATATTTGGTCAGAAAGAGTTGAATGTAGAGGAGGACAAGGAAGAAAGCAAGAACAAGAACCATGAGAATGTTAAGTCAGATCCCCCTGGTATCCAAGATATTAGAAGTGGTGTTATTACCATAAACGGTGGCAGCATGGCTGATTATTTTTTGAAAAAGGGTCAAAATTTGTCTTTAACGTCTAAAAAAAAGAAACAACAAGAAAGCAACTCAGACAGTGAACCTGAGTATGCTGGGTTTGGTTTTGCATCAACAGTTACCAAAGAAAACTCTCGGAATGGCAATGAAACGAAAGAAACTGGAAATATTTGTGATTACGCTTTTGAAAATCTTTGTTTAAGATTAAACAGTCCAGAAAATACTCCAAGTACTAACAGCAAATTAGAATCTTCAAAGAAGAGGAAAATTTCTGATGACAATGAATCAGGCCTAAGTAATAATCGTAAAAAATTTAAAGAAGGTATTAAGAATGATTACAATGTTTTTGAAAATGCTGCATTAAATTTGGAATCTACAACCAGTGAAATGTACAATGGAAAGGAATTCGAGGTGTGTAGAGTAGAATTTGGCGTAACAAATTCTGCTCTAGACTTACATGATGAGGTAGTAGAGAAAAAGAGAGTAACGTTTAATGATCGTGTAGAATATAGTACCGACTCTGCAAAAAAGAAGAAAGGAAAAGCCATGTTGGATAAATTTGAGGTTGAAAATAAAAAGTCTAAAAAGAAAAAGAAATCGGAAGAAAATGCAAATAACTTTGTGCCGTTTGGTATTGTTAATGAAGCCTTAGACGTTGAAGAAGTGTCTGAAGAAATGAATGATAATGAGATTAACGAGCGCAAAAGTAGAAAATCTAAAAAGAGAAAAGGTAGCTGTCGAACTAATTTAGAAACCATAGTGGAAATACCAGAAGAAGTTGGTGAAGATGAAATGAAAACTGAGAAACTTGATGATGTACATCAAGAGGATCCCTCGAATAAAAAGTCAAAGAAAAAGAAGGAAAAAATAGAAATTCCAGCTATCAGTGAACATAATGCGCTGGAGAATGCAGAAGAAGCAGTAAATAGTGAATTAAAAACTGAATTGGAGAAGGAAGATCACATACAAAAACTGGAGGATCAAGCAAACTGTTCTGAGGAAAAAGAAAAAAAAAAAAAAAAGAGGAAGAAGAAAGATGCTGAAAGAAACATAGGAAATCATGAAGGTAACTTCGAAATTCAAACAGAATCTAGTAATATTGAACATGTAAAACAGGAAATTGAAATAGCAGAAGAAGAAACTGTAAAATTAAAAAAGAAAAAAAAGAAAATGAGGAAGGATTTAGATGAAACCGATATTAACAAAGCAAAACATGAAAAATTAATAAAAGATATTGTCGAGTGTATTCCTAATAGAGCATCTACACCAGAACGTATGGAAGAAACAGTAAATACAAAAATCACACACACAAATTCAAGAAATACAAAATCTACACATCAACTTGTAAAAGATACGACATTTAATGCTTCCTCTAGTCCTTGGAATGAAAGAGCAAAGACATCGAAGAAAATATTGATGTCTCTTTTCAATCGAAATTCTATCGCACATTTTCCAGGTTCTAATGTACACGAAATTAAAGGTTATGGTATCGATATATACAATAAAGAGTAAAACGTTCTTTTTATAAAGAATATTAATATATTTTTGAAGATCTGTGTATACCAGTGACTGATTCAATTGTGTAGATTACTGTATGGTAACAGAGCATGAATTTTGGAAATGTACAGAATAATTTCTTTTTTTCTGAAACAAAAGGTGTCTTACGAATAAACATAATAAAATATACTGTTTATTTTATACTTGGTCTTTACTGTGATTATTATTAAAAATATATTTCGAAGAAGTACTTACTCTATTAGTATATATTTTGAATTCAAGATTCTGCTATGTTGTCTTCTATTTTGTCAACAAAGTCTTGACTTAAGAGTTTATCCTTAAGTTTATTGATAGTTGCTAATTGCTCTTCATTCAATTCAACTACATTGTTAGGTATACATGTATCTTCTGCTTCAACTATAGAATATCCCATATTTTTTAACTGAGTTATACTTTTTATAGAATTACGAAACTCGCATTTGAACTGAAATAATTGAAAATAAGAAAGTTCAGTGCAGCACAATAAAACGGATAATATATACCTTATAAAATATATTATCATCTTCTTCTATTATTTCCATATCCTGTGCATTGATCTGTATTGCATCTTCCATTGCCTGATCAGCAGTACAGTTTTTTGAGGCTGTGACATAACTTGCACAATCAAACATCCTCATTATTGTAGGGTCTGCTAATCTAGAGCTGCAAGTATAAAAAGATGAAACAAACTATTTCAACAGATTACAATTATAAAACACTGTATAAATTGAAATAATGGTACCTATGCTTTCTAAAGAGTACATTCATATCGCTTTTTATTGCAGCCATTTTAGTACTTGAAACATATATAATAAGTTTGCATCCACCAGGACCAGAGACTGTTATTATTTCATTTGGAACACCTCTTTTGACATTCATTTCTTGTACAAATGTTTTCATAGGTGGTATAGATACATTGGCTTTTTTGGCTTGTTCTAAAACTTGTGATAGTCTCAGATTCTTACGTGGGTCTGCATTTCCAGTCTCTAAAACGAATCAATTGAAGAAAGGTATAACATTTATTGTTAAAATCAGTTTGTTTCTTAGAAGCTCCTATTTGCTTGAAAATGAGAAATAATGCGAATCTCAATTAAATATACGTTGAATGCTTATTATTCAAATCTATGTTCTTTGTTTGATATACATTTTTATGTTATAGAAGTTAAAAGAAAAGCACCTTGTATTGCGAACTCTACTCTCCTATTTAAACTTTGAACGAGTCTTGATTTTGCAAAATGAGGATCTTGGTCTTTTGTAATCTGCCCTGCATGATTTCTGCCTTGCTGAAGTAGAATACTTCTGTATTTATTACTAATTACAGAATTTAAACGTAAGTACATGTTTATAAGTTAACGTGAATACGATAGGTTATGATACATGTCCTTTTTCGTACTGCTCTATATAAACAATTGCTAAGTGATTTTCATTTAACTCTGTTTGCTGATTATTTACTTATGCGTTCATTTATAGAAATATATAACAGTATTGTTTATAATTATGTAGTGATTGTGATATAAACAACGAATTATGTATTAATTAGTTACGCAAAAAGCACAAGTTGACTTCAAAAAGTGCATGGTGCCGCCATCTACAACAAATTCGTGGAACTATTAGTCAATTAGTTACACTAAATGCCGATAGATGGTGCTACCAGTTTGTGGAACTGGTGAACAGACATGGTGATGAGAACGTGAGTCGACCTGAAAGGTCACGGTCCGCGAATAGTTGTGTTGGTGTGAAATTATTTCCAAGCTTAAGTAAATAGACTTCACGATATTATGAAGTTGGAGTCGCAGTTATAATAAATCCCGTAGTCTATTCTACGTGTATATGATACAAACATAGTTTTTGAAGAACTGAAGTTCTTAGCTACGGGCCCATTGGCCCGTGGCGTGGGAGACGTCATGGACAGACTGATCAGTGGTATAGTGACTATACTATAGTCGCGTTCAGGACCAGAATCCGTTAGGCGAGAAACGTTACGTAAGTTGAGAAGTCAAGCCGACTTGGCGTGTAAAGCAAACCGTTTTTGTCATCCTCACGCCTCACTTGTACGCGCCTCAAACCGAGAAGTCACCAACGCAAACCGCGTTGTGGCACAGCCGATACGAGACAGACGGTACAAGCGTAGTAGTCACAATCTAAATTCATAAATTCAATTAATTTCTACTCATTTATTACATATTTCTTCATCAGTAAACTCAAGAACGTTGCAACATTTCTACTAGTATTTATCTTCACAATTCTTTAGTTTGAGAAGCGTGCGGTGATACGAACACCGACGGAAATTAAATCTGTACTCAGATCATACGAAAATCAGTATAAATTACCAAGTACCTAAAGTCGGCTGGATTTCTCAACCAAGTCTCTCGCCCGACGCGTTAGTTTAACTATTAAGAGCAACCGATGCTATCATTTCGGGATATCATAAGAACGGACGAATCTTCACAATCTCAAGCAAGTAGGAAGGAACGGGTCTGACAAGTTCATGCTCAGCCGATTCCTTCCGGAATAGTTTGTTCTTGACTGTGAACGCGGTTAGTATAGGGGCATAAGTACGATCGGAGTTGTTCTATCGGTGCAGGAAAGATGTGTTGGGACTAGAGATGGCGTGCAAAATCACTAACGGTGATTTATCACAGTGATCGTCGAATCACGATCACGGTCGTGATTTAACTTCATTCACAACCGTGATTGCGATTTTTCTATCTTGGGTGAATTTGTTCACTGCGATCGTAAGTCCTTGATCTTTAAACAGAAAAACGTATTCAATATGATTTTACGATAATTACATTACTATTCGTGTTTGTAAACATCAGTAGAAAAAACAAGAAATTCTAAAAAAATGATTTGCTAGGTAACATGTAGATTATAATTTGTAATCATTAATTTATTCATTATTCTTCATTGTTTCTACTTATCCGTTCACTTTATACGATATAACCCTAATTTTTGTTTTGATGTCGTTAATGTGAAATATACAAATTATGTATCGCGTGTAAAGAACTGTTAGGTTTCTCCACCAATAAGAAACGATCACGGGAAATCACGAATCACTGTGAAAAATCATCGTGATTGGGAACGAACGTGATCGAATCACGAGTGATTCACAAGTAGCAGTTCACGCCATCTCTAGTTGGGACCACGTGCACGTGTACCTCACCAACGTCTTATGTATTGCGAAACAGCCAAGGTTTTGTACGTGTCTCCAACCGATAAGTTCTTCCGATTTATCGGCGGAATCATCGGTTGCTGTGACATATGCATGAGGGAATCTAGACGCCGAGCTTTGTGTTAGATTAAGCACGATTGATGTTAATCCATCTTTACTGGAAACAAGTGTGGGACCACGTACGCGGATACCACACTTGCGTCTTTTGCATCGTGGATTAACTAAGATAAAGTGCATGTCTCCACCTGAGAAATTCTTCCGAGTCATCGGCGCAATCATCGGCTGCTGTAACGTCTACCCACGGAACTCCGTTCCCGATCAGAGAGTACGATTGAAGCACGATCAACGTCTGCCGACCAGTACTGGAAAAAAGTGCAGGGAACACGTTCGCGTGTACCTCACCAACGTCTTTTATACTGTAGTCAGACGGGGGTTTGGTGTGTGTCTTCACCCGAGAAGTCCTCCCGATTTATCGGCGGGATCATCGGCTGCTGCGATAAAGATCAAAGCCTCTCCAGCTAGGACCGCGTCATCTCAGTAAACCGAAATTATAGCATTGCGCGCGTGTGTCGCGCACGATAGAAGGTGTGCGAAGTGTGGAAGAG